GGCTGCAGTCCCTTAATGGTGGGCCTTGCTCGGGGCATGTGGGGCTCTCCCTCCATCCAGAGTTGGCCCAAGACCCTTAGAGCCCTGAGTGCTGGCAAATCTCACTGCTCGTGACCCGGCCTGTGTATTCAAAACAAAAACAGTAAAACCAACATCAGGATGTCCATCAGAAAAAAAAAAAAAAATGTATGTAGTAAATCCCACTTCTGGGTATACATCCAAGAGATTTAAAAGCAGAATCTCAAAGAAATATATGCACATCCATGTTCATTGCGGCATTCACAATAGCCAGAAGGTGGAAGGAGCCTAAATGCCTATCACTGGATGATGGATTATAAAAATGTAGTCTAGGCCAGGCACAGTGGCTCGCACCTGTAATCCCAGCACTATGGGATGCCCAGGTGGGCAGATTGCCTGAGGTCAGGAGTTCGAGACCACCCTGGTCAACATGGTGAAACCTCATCTCTACTAAAAATACAAAAATTAGCCAGGCATGGCGGTGCATGCCTGTAATCCCAGCTACTCTGGAAGCTGAGGCAGAAGAGTCGCTTGAACCTGGGAGGCGGAGATTGCAGTGAGCTGAGATTGCACCACTGCACTCCAACCTGGGTGAAAGAGCAAGACTCCATTTCAAAACAAAACAAATAAAACAAATGTAGTATAGGCCAGGCATGGTGGCTCACGCCTGTAATCCCAGCACTTATGGGAGGCCAAGGTCAGGAATTCAAGACCAGCCTGGCCATCATAGTGAAACCCTGTCTCTACTAAAGATTCAAAAATTAGCTAACTGTGGTGGTGTGTGCCTGTAATCCCAGCTAGTTGGGAGCCTGAGGCAGGAGAATCACTTGAACCTGGGAGGCAGAAGCTATAGTGAGCCGAGATCGTCCCACTGCACTCCAGCCTGGGTGACAGAGCAAGACTCCATCTCAAACATAAAATGTGGTATATATACACAATATAATATTACTCAGCCTTAAACAAAAAGGAAACCATATCATATGTTGCAACATCAAAGAACTTTGAGGACATCATGCTATGGGAAATAAGTCAGCAACAACAACAACAAAATATGCTGCATATTCCATTTATATGGGGTACCTAGAGTTGTCAAACTCATAGAAACAGCCAGTAGCAAAGTGATTGCCAGGAAAGAGTGCTAGAAGAGGAGGAGTTCAGTGGGCACAGAGTTTTGGCCATGCAAGATGAAAACGGTCTAGAGGTCTATTATACAACAATGTGCTTATAGTTAATAATACTGTACACTTCAAAATTATTTTTTCTTTCTTTTTTTTCTGAGACAGTCTCACTCCCGTTGCCCAGGCTGGATTGCAGTGGTATGATCATGGCTCACTACAGCGTTGACTTCCTGGGCTCAGGTGATGCCACCCCCTTAGCCTCTCAAGTAGCTGGGACTACAGGAATGCACTCCAAAGCCAGGTTAAATTTTTTTTTTTCATAATTTTAGTAGAGATGGTTTCGCCATGTTGCCCAAGCTGGTCTTGAATTCCTGGGCTCAAGCGATCTGCCCACCTTGGCCTCCCAAAGTGCTGGGATTATAGGTGTAAGCCATCATGCCTGGCCTTCAAAATCATTAAGAGGGTAAATCTATGTTATGTGCTTTTTACTGCACATAAACATATATAGTGATAAGCCTTTCCAGATTTCTTCCAAGCAGAATATCCATATGTTCTCTCTTACACACACACACTTCAAGTGTAGAAAGAGCAACAGGAAGAATAAATTCACTTTCTCCATCTCCACTCCCCATCCAGCCCACTCAGCCTTAAGAAGGACTCTATCCTGTTTTATCCACGATGCTGGAGGGTAGAGTCAGAATAAAAATGTGAAAGATGTCTTAATACAAGAGGATAAGAGAGATAAGTAGACAGTTTAATATAACTTATACATGTATTTTATTTATTCTCCAAGTCGTGTGTGTAGGGGAGAGTGTGTGTGTGTGTGTGTGAGTGTGAGAGCGTGTGTGTGTGTGTGAGTGTGTGTGTGTGAGTGTGTGTGTGTAAGTGTGTGTGTGTGAGTGTGTGTGACTGTGTGTGTGTGTGTAGGGGAGTGTGTGTGTGAGAGTGTGTATGTGTGTGAGTGTGAGTGTGTGTGAGTGTGAGTGTGTGTGAGTGTGTGTGTGTAGGGGAGTGTGTGTGTGTGTAGGGGAGTGTGTGTGTGTAAGAAGGACAAATGTATCAGGGAGGCTTATCAGTCAAGCATGAAGTAGAGAAAGCTAAATGCCAACCACTCAGCTAAGTCTCAGTGAAAAACAAAGATGTTGAAAGTAGTTTTCAGTGTGAAGAGAGCCGGGAAGATGCAACAGCAAATGCTGTGGGAACACACAGCTGGGGGGGCCTGCCATGGGTTTCCCAGAGAAAGTGATGCCTGAGGTTAGCCCGGGGCTGAGGGGCCCAAGAGTGTTCCTGGCTATGAAAGCAGCAAACTTGAAGGCCCCAGGAGCCTGGTGCTTTTGAGACTCTTAGAGGAGCCCAGGGCAACGAGAGCCGAGTGACCCATCGAGATTAGAGGTGACTCCAGAGAGACGGCAGAGGTCAGGGAGGGCCTCACTGCCATGTGAGGATGTTGGACTTTATCCCCGAGGGCACCCACCGAGTGGTTAGCGGGGAAGCCACACGCTGCACTCTGACTTCTAAGTGTTGCTCCAGCTGCAGTGAGAAGCACTAGCCCGGGTGTGGTCACCGCAGTATCAGAGAAGGCAGAGAACAGCAGCTCAGACAGGGGACAGTGACTCCAGCAATGCAAATGGACAGATCCCCATTCCTGGAAGAAGGCTCAATTGCTCTGAAGAGGGAATTGAGTCATATATTAGGTTGGTGCAAAAGCAATAGCGGTTTGCCATCATTATGTTTCATGGCAAGAACCGCTATTACATTTACACCAAACTCATAGAATTTTGAAATGTTAAAATGAAGGCTGAACTGGCTTAACTTGGTGACTGATTGGATGTGGAGAGTGTGGGAGAGAGGGAGGAGGCATGGATGCCTCCGAGTCTTCTGGTTGGGTAACCAAGGGAATAATGATGTCCTTGAGGGAGATGAGTTTCTGCAGAAACACAGTTTGTGTGGAAATATGAATCTGTTATGAACATACAGAGTCTGAGATACCTGTCCTTGCGGTCTTTTGTTTTTTTTTTTTTTGAGTATTGCTATGTTGCCAGGCTGGAGTGCAGTGATGCAATCTCGGCTCACTGTAACCCCCGCCTCCCAGGTTCAAGTGATTCTCCTGCCTCAAAATCCCAAGTAGCTGGGACTAGAGGCATGCACCACGCCCAGCTTTTTCAGTAGAGACGAGGTTTCACAATGTTGGCCAGGATGGTATTGATCTCCTGACATCATGACGATCTGCCCGCCTTGGCCTCCCAAAGCGCTGGGATTACAGGCATGAGCCACCATGCCCAGCCTGCCTGCAGCCTTTCTCTCTCCCACTCTTGTCATCTCAAACAACGTCTAGTATTTCTCCATTGTAAATCGATCCTATTTCTCCATCATATACGGAAATAGGGTCAGAAAGAATCTTAGAAATCATGTCATCCCCTGCCCTCATTCTACACATAAGGAAACAGACCTGGTGGAGTTTAGGAGACTTCGCCAAGGTGCACAGGACTCTAACCCCATACACACCCCCTGACTCACAGCCCGTGCTCAGGTTCCTCCCAGCACCGCGGAAAGTATGTGTTTCTTTCTTGCTTCTCACACTTGCCGCCATCACCACCGTAACCACTCTCCCTGGTCTAGAAAGCCCAGCCTCCTGAAGGTACTCATTTAAACATGAGAAATCACTGGCCTTCTTCCCAGTTGATGCCTCTGAATGTAACAGTCATAGATTTATGAACGTAAAAATAATCAGAAGCTACTGGGCGCGGGGGCTCACGCATGTAATCCCAGCACTTTGGGAGGCTGAGGCAGGAGGATCACGAGGTCAGGAGATCAAGACAATCCTGGCTAACATGGTGAAACCCCATCTCTACTAAAAATGCAAAAACTTAGCTGGGTGTGGTGGCAGGTGCCTGTAGTCCCAGCTACTCGGGAGGCTGACGCAGGAGAATGGCATGAACCCAGGAGGCGGAGCTTGCAGTGAACCGAGATCGCACCACTGCACTCCAGCCTGGGTGACAGAGTGAGACTGTCTAAAAAAAAATAAATATATAATCATCATCATCATCAGCAGCAGCAGCAGCAGCAGCAGCAGCAGTTGAAAAGTAGTTGAAGTTGATATCTGGTCAAGTTGCTCACAGGAATCTCCTGTTAGGTCACTTTAGTTTTCATTATGATTATTTAAGAAACAACATAAAACATTGAGTCCATTAATTTTCACAGTATGTTTTTTTATTTTTTTTTTGAGGCGAAGTCTCCCTCTGTCACCCAGGCTGGAGTGTGGTGGTTCGATCGTGGTTCACTGTAACCTCCACCTCTGGGGTTCAATGACTCTCCTGTCCCAGCCTCCTGAATATCTGGGATTACAGACACATGCTACCACATCTGGCTAATTCATATTTCTTGTAGAGACGGGGTTTCACCATGTTGGCCAGGCTAGTCTCCAACTCCTGGCCTCAAGTGATCTGCCTGCTTTGGCCTCCCAAAGGGCTGGGATTACAGGCATGAGCCACTGCACCTGGCCACACAATATGAATTTTTAAACATCCATCTCTACGCATAATAGTTTTCTATAAAATTTTGGTTTCCTATAAAATGTCACTCACCATACATTTTCAAATATAATTGTCATATGGTTTTGTCACATGGTTTCCTATACAATTTCACTCTTTCAACAAATGTTGGTAGGATTTGCAGTTGTTTTTATTAACTGGGTAAAGAAATAAAATCTGTGACTTTTGCTCTTTGAGTTTCTATTTTTATGATCTATTAGGGCAAAATGGAACATGTCAGAAACAATGTGTAATAACAGTTAAGAAGGAATTTTGTTAACTATTACAATTACAAATACTCAACCCTACACAGTTAAAAAAAAAAAATGCTTACCTGATGCGAGAGTCCTTAAAGGTGTCAAGATATGCAGGGTAGCTCCATCCAATTCTACTCCCCTTACATCGAAGCTCTACACTTTGCCCCGCCAGCAGGCTCAGGGTAGCGGCGGGTTTCTGGAAGCGACCTTTATCCAGCACCTGCATCATGATAGACTGCGTCTTTGGTGTTGAATCGGCTGAGTCCCTGTCCTTTATTTTAGGAATTTTGGGCTTCACCTTCTTGTTGGTAGGTTTGATTCTATTCTCCCCTGGTTCCTTTGGACGCTTGTTCTTGGGAAGGTGTTGGCCAGTAACTGCACAAACCAAGGAGAGAGAAATACGCTATAGTAACGGCATCCTCAGAATATTTGAGGCTGATAACTTTTTCTTCTTCTTCTTTGTCTTCTTTTTTTTTTTTTTGAGACAGATTCTCACTCTGCTGCCTAGGCCGGAGTACAGTGGCGTGATCTCAGTTCACTGCAACCTCCGCCACCCAGGTTCAAGTGATTCTCTTGCCTCAGTGTCCTGAATAGCTGAGATTACAGGTGCCCGCCACCGCACCCAACTCTTTTTTGTATTTTTAGTAGAGACATGGAGACGGGGTCTCACTGTGTTGGCCAGGCTGGTCTCAAACTCCTGACCTCAGGTGATCCGCCTGCCTTGGCCTCCCAAAGTGCTGGGATTACAGGAGTGAGCCACCATGCCCAGCCCTGTTAACTTTTAGATAACTCTAGAGAAGGTAACTTTTTATTCCTCCCCTCCTCATATCTCAATATTGTTTTCAGTAAAAGTCATGTAATAATCATTTTTTGATTCTATAGTTTTAAAACAATCATTTAAAAGGAAAATATTTCAGCTCTAAAGATATTCAAATTCAGCAAAATAGTTCATATATGAGTTAAAATTTGCCCTTAGAAAACAAAAATATTATTGCCTGTAGTTCACACTGTCGCACAGTCTCCAAGTTGTCACACAAAACAGCCGAACTGAAGCCATTCAAGGCTGTTTCTTTACTTTGCAGTCTCGATGTTGTCACTGTTCATTTTGATTCTACTATTTAAACACAGAAATATGTAGTTCCACAGAGACTGGGGGCATAAACTGTGCTGAAATTGCATGCAAAATATTTTGTGTTTATTGTTAGAAACAGAATCTCACTCTATCAACCAGGCTGGAATGCAATGGCATGATCCTAGCTCACTGCAGCCTTGAACTCCTGGGCTCAAGTGATCCTCCTGCCTCAGCCTCCTGACTAGCTAGGTCTACAGGTATGTGAGACCACGATGAACAATTTTTTTTTTTTTTAGAGTTGGGGTCTTGCTATATTGCCCAGGCTGGTATCGAACTCCTAGCCTCAAGCAACACTCCCCACTAGGCCTCCCAAAGTGCTGCAATTATAGGTGTGAGCCACTCTGCCCTGCCAAGATTTTGAACCATGATGAATTTTCTCTCAAAACAAATGGTAAAGTGGAGATTACATTTGTCAGGGGCTGGCGATGTCTAGGTAGAATAAAATGTTTATTATTAAAGAGTAAATATTAAATGTATACTAATCTGAAACTTACATATAAATGATCAAAATTCAACTGTAACTGTAGCAATGATTTAGAATTTCACCAACAAAATATCTTTGGGGAAGGAGTATTTTATCACCAACAATGTTGAGAGTTGCTGGCAAATAGTGGTAATAAAAAGCTAACTGACTTTGAGTTGCTTTTATAGTTGTTTCTGCCTTCTCTATAAATAACGCACTCTTACTGACTGCACCCAGGGAAGAGTCCCCTCATTGTTCTGCCTGTGGTGGGCCACCAGACTCCTAAAATCTCAGCTAAGCCCCTTGTAGCCACACAGTTGTGTCCACGCAACAAGAAAGAAAAGGGGACTGTAGGCCAGGTGTGGGGAGGCAGAGGCTGCAGTGAAAACAATATTGACATATGAGGAGGGGAGGATTAAAAATTTATCTTCTCTAGAGTTATCTAAAAGTTTTCAGGACTGGGCATGGTGGATCACTCCTGTAATCCCAGCACTTTGGGAGGCCAAGGCAGGTGGATCACTTGAGGTCAGGAGTTTGAGACCAGGCCGGGAAACATGGCAAAACCCTGTCTCTACTAAAAATACAAAATTAGCCAGGCATGGTGGTGCATTACTGTAGTCACAGCTGCTAGGGAGGCTGAGGCATAAGAATTGCTTGAACCTGGGAGGCAGAGGTTGCAGTGAGCCGAGATCATACCACCACACTCCAGCCTGAGTGACAGTGAGACCCTGTCTCAAAAAAAAAAAAAAAAAAAAAGGAAAGAAAAAGGTAGAGTTTGTTTGACCATCTGTCCACACAAGCTCAAAGGCCACCTCGATAGATACCCACAGAACTGCAAAATTTTCAAACTTACGAGATCCTTAGAGATCATTTAGGTCAAGTCCTCATGTTGTAGATTTAAAAACTAAAGGAGGCCCTCCCTGAAAAGCTGAATAAACTGTACAGAGTCACTCAGCTGGTTAGTGGCAGAATGTGGAGCAGAAGTCAGGCCTCCTATTCCCATTCCAAAGAGCTCATTTCACTACGTGGAGATAAACATTCTGTACACATTTTGAACAACCACACGGCCCTTGGCCAATTGAGAGAATGACAGGGCATTTGTAGAACATGTGGTAGATCAGGAGAAAAGTATAATAAAAAACACAATTGATTTGGACTCAACTGTGTAATGATGAATTTGGTTTCCTTTGTGTGCTGCCCTTTGAAACAGGAGCCATGGGGCCTCCCCTCTTAGTTCAGTCTGGCCCTGAGTCTAGAACCTATCCTGCCCTTAGGACCTCTTGGCTCAGTGTCAACATCCAAGCCTCACTCTTTAGGCTTCTATGCCTCAACCCCTGAGCCCTGCCCTATTTTCTGTGACTTCATGTGCAGCTGTGACCTGTTTCTTCTTTTAGGCCCGAGTCTCTTATTTCCCTTCCTTCCCCTACTAAGGTTTCTCGTGGTTACAGGCCTTACTGAGCATCCTTCACCCTTCCAGGGAGTAGAGCTGTGACCTTGAACCCTAGTCTCCAAGGCGGAACCCCCAACACCTGCTGCTGAATCTGCTGTTTGCCCATTACTCTGCTCACCCTGGACACGTGGTTCATCACTCCTGGTTTTAATGATAGGTGGGGATAGACAATGGCTCCCATGCACACGCTCCCAGCCTCCTAGAAGGAAAAGCACTGCAATGGCTGGGAATGTGTCAGACCAACAAAAGTACATTGATCCAGCCACATCAATTGTGAAGCATAAGCCTCAGCTCTGCAATAAGGTAGAAATTACAGTTTTCTTCTTAAGATAGAAAATAATAGGCCAGGCAAGGTGGCTCACACATGTAATCCCACCACTTTGGGAGGCCAAGTTGCAAGTTGGGAGGTTTGCTTGAGGCCAGGAGTTCAAGACCAGCCCGGGCAACATGGTACATTGCTACAAAATTAAGGAAAAAAAAAAAAAGAAAAAAAAAAGCTGAGTGTGGTAACACATGCCTGGAGGCTGAGGCAGGAGGATCACTTGAGCCCTTGAGTCTGAGTTTGTGGTGAGCTATGATTGCACCACTGCACTCTAGTCTGGTTGACAGAGCAAGACTCTGTCTCAAAAAAAAAAAAAAAGAAAAGAAAAGAGAAGAAAGCCTACCATTACAATGTCCACGTAATCTGTGCCCCGTAAATATTTTAATGCCTGTGAGATTAAGAAAACTCTGGATTAATGTCTAATTTGGTGTTCTGTGTATCATGGAACAGGAATTCAAGCTATCAGAAATGACAATAACCATATGTAAATCCTATGGAATTTAGACAAACAGAGCTACTTGTCTGACTTCTAAGCTGTAATACCTTGTTATCTATGTTACTCAGGAACATCAGATTACCTGATTATGGAGATTATGTATCCAAATATTTGCTATTATCTATGCAAAATAATTTGACCTTCTGACCAAAGAGCCCCACCAGCTGATCTAACTGTATAGCTGGTCCAGCTTCCTGACCACAGAATTGGCCTGTGGTTTGAGGGTAATGATGCTAACTTAAAGGACCAGCCTAGTGGCCCCATAGATACCCAGACAGTCCTGCAACTGAGTAACTCCCAAATCCCATGTCTAACTTTTTAAAAGATATGACTCTTCAGCCTAACCATGTCAACTGGTTATTTTTCAAAGACCTAAAAAATATAAGAATTCATCCTGCAGATAAATAAAAGTCAAAGTCCATTACCATTGCATTTTTGAGACTATTACATTGTATATTTTATAGAGAAACAGGTGGTAAAATTCAAGAACGATTAAATAGCGTTACTAACTTCAGGTCCAGGCCTGCCACTTACTCGCTGTGTGACCTTGGGAAGCTACTTACCCTCTTCTGTTTCCGTTTTCTCATCTGTAAATTGAGAATGATATGGTAACAACTACCTCATAATAACTATAATAGTTACTGTGGGAGTTAAATGACGTAGTATGTCAAAAATGGTGAAATTAGCATCTGGCCCATAGTGAGTGATTGCTGGCTAAGTGCTATTTGTTTTTCTGTGGTTGTCACATGAGATCTCTATGATAAACTTGTGGTGGAGGCTAAGCAGATATTATTCTTTTTAATGTATAGATGCCAAGTAGTTCACTCCAGGTCATCAAGAAGGCAGTGAAAAACCAGACCCTCTGACTCCAAGTCTAGAGCTTTCTCTGGCTCATGCCATTACCTCTCCAACCACATAGATATTAGCATATTGTTGCTTTTTCACTTTATCTGCACAGGTCTCATGCACCATGAGATTCTTTGTTTGATGTGACATGCAGTTCCAAGCCACACAGAACTTGACGCTGGGGATAAGAGCCTCCTCTTCCTGGAAGAGCTGGAGATACTTTTCCAAGTCACATGTTGGATCCCCCCAGTGTGGAGATGCTGATCAAAACCTCATCTGCAGCCTGGTGCGGTGGCTCATGCCTATCATCCCAGCACTTTGGGAGGCCAAGGAGGGTGGATCACTTGAGGCCAGGAGTTCAAGACCAGGCTAGCCAACATGGTGAAACCCCATCTCTTCCAAAAAATACAAAAAAAAAATTAGCGAGGCATGGTGGTACATGCCTGTAGTCTCAGCTACTCAGGAGGCTGAGGCATGAGAATTGCTTGATCCTGGGAGATGGAGGTTGCAGTGAGCTGAGATTGCGCCGCTGCCACTGCACTCCAGCCTGGACAAGAGAGTGAGACTCTGTCTCAAAAAAACAAGAAAACAAACAAAACCCCAAAAACCCTTATATCCAATAAACAGATGTTACAAAGCGAGAAGGAAGCAGGACAAAGGACCATG